GATCTGAACTGGCTGCGCGGGAGATGGATTTCCAATTTCGTGGGTTTGGCGCCGGGAATTTTACCGGCCAAGTCAACCCTCGCTCTTGTACGTGCAACCCAGGTGGCGGTGTACAAATCGTATTTCATGGCGGGCGATGTGGTGTTGGGAGTAGGGCCACTGTGCCAAAATTTTCGCGCTGCCAATCAGCGTGCATCTGGATGGCGGGTGTATTCTGCCATCAACCTGGTGTGGTATGAGTACGTGGCAGGCGCTAAACACGGCTGCCATCTACAGTGGCCCTGCCACGAACCAGGAATGCACCCTGATTACAAAGGAATTTGAAAGGTTTCACTAACTGTAACTGCTGTTGCGGTTCGATACAGCGACGACTCGGGTAACTGCTTTAAAGTGAGTCAGTTATGTGTCCTTGCTGTCGCGCTGCTTTTCGGCGAGTCAAGGTCGCTGACCTTCGACCTTCACTCAACCTCTTGTTGTTGTCTTTCTGTCAACCGCTTTGGTTGACTCGCTGTTGCTTCCCTTCAGTTCGCTTCGCTTTTGTTGTAGTGCTCGACACACGAGAAGCGCGAACTATATGTTTCCAACACGGCTTAGCTCTGGGCGCAGTCGTGGCTGCACGCGTTTACGAGAGAACGCGAGGACATCGGCTCCTAGGTGCTAAGGGGCGTGAGTCCATTCGAATGCAAAAAAAAAAAAATCAAAAGTTGATTTCTCTGGGTGCGAAGATGCCCGGTCCAAAAAGTAAGTGGCTACAAATACCAAGTGTTACGGGTGCAATTGAACGAGATAGCGAGGATCGCACTAGGTGTCAAACGACTACAAAGTATGAGCGAAGGCATGAGCGAATACTTATACGCGAAAAATGCAAACAGTAACGCGGTGCGTACGAGTTAGCTAGTGCTATGCTGGCATCGAGATTCGGGCTAGTCTCGAAGCGTAGGCCGACTCGGCCAGGCCAGTGGTGCATTGTTTTGTAAAACAGTGCGCACGAAGTTGGCGAAGCCCTGTGAGCATTAACAGGCGAACAATGGCTGATGCTGTACGCGATGTTTAAGAATGCGATAAGGAATGCCGAAAGATTCCTTACAATGGATACTCTAAAAAAAAATTCCGTAAGAATCTTTTAAACTGCTTCACAAACACATTTGTCTTAGCTAGTATGTGCTACCGCTTATCAACTAGTCAGCAGTTTGCTCCCAAGTCTTCAGGAAAGCTGTGGAGTTCCAAGGCTGGCGTGTAAACGCAATCAACAACTCCTACGTGTTAACGCAATCAACAACGTGTAGGTCGAATGGCCTGGAGAAGGCAGCACACGTGTCCGATTAATTACTGGGTGTAGTTGCTCGTTCCATGTCATGTGCAGAACCCTCGGACGCACGCTGCACAAAATGTGGTGGGACAATGATTATTTAGGCAAATGTGCGGATGGAATTCAAGGCGCTCGAATGCAGTGCTGCTCCCTGGAACTTATGATGGAGCAAAAGCCGGGAGCAGTCGCTGCTACGTGGCTTCTCCCAATCCGATGGGGAATGTTGTTCAATTTAGCCAGTTTTTTTATTCTGCTTTCATCGAATGAGCGGCCCTGAAGCTGCCCGTGCGTTTCGATTTAGGTCCAAAGGGGCTGTCGAGGGGGCCAACACGTGCAAACAGTTGAGTTGTCATTATGATAGACCATCTTGGTCAAAAAGCTATTTATTTATCTAGAATAGCTTGGGCAGAAACTACAGTTTTTTTTCTTGCGCTACCGCACTACTGGATAATTGAAACTACGACCCAGCATCTGGCTGCTTACGTAAGATATTCTGAAGAGCACAAATCTACATCAGGCTGCTTACTTAAGATCCTCATGAATGGACTGAAGCCGCGCATTTTGTGTGAAACGCAAGGGTTTTCAGCCCGAACCGGTGCGTACAAGAAATGAGCGACTCCCTTGTGGAAATAAATACAGGCTGTTCTCCTTACGGTCAGTGTAGGTAGTGAGAGCATACACTGACAAAATACAGAACTATCTGGGTGTCGAGCCCGTCACAGGGGGAGTGAGGGAATCACGTGTTGACAGTTAATCAATACCAACAAGCATGCGGAAATACTGTACCCAACGAACTGAAATGACTGGATGGGAATGGAGGGAAAGTCAACCGAGGCAGTTGGCTAGGACACGATAGGCTGCAGGAAGAATCTCGCTTGACGTTCAGCAAGAGGGGATTCCGGCGACGGACGGTCGACGTGAAAGCGCTTGGATTCGCACCATGCTCACGAGATCACCTGACTGGTTCACCGAAGGCAGCGGGGGAGTGGGGGCGAGGAAAACCTCTGGACATCCGACGCGGAAATCTTTCTCGGCGAGCTCCACGCGAGATCTGAGGCAACAACAACCCCATGTCCACAATCTTCCCACACCTCCTTCTTCCCCCCCTTCCTCCCTCACTTGGTCCCCCCCAACCCAATTCGCCCGCCCCCACCACCATATTTGCTCCGTCCTCCTCTCTACCTTCCAGCAGATCCCTAATCTCCCGTTCATTCCCTTCCCCTTCCCCCATTCCTAACTTCCATTTATGGTTTGCTGCTGTCAATTGCTGATTGTTTTGACCCGACTGATCGGAATTTACCACTTACAACGATTTCCCCTGCAATGAGATTCCAGTTGGGTGTCCTTTGCGTTGTTATAGACTTATCCTGAAGCCCGTAGTTCAAACGTAGACAGACGTCCGCAACTTCCACGAACTAATATTTAGAGTGGAATAACCGCATTAGGAAGAAAGTAACCCGCTACGAGTGCGGACCCGCTACATTAGGGCCCGCTAAAGGTGGTCAGGTGTGTTAACAATCATGGATTCGACGTTCCAAGCTCCCTCATTACTCCATCCAGCCAGACCCGCCAGCGATAGCCGTAATCTCGAACCCGCACATACTAGCGCACAACAAGCAATATCCGGCGCACAGTCCGCATTCTCTGAATTCTCAACATCTGCCGCATGTCCCGACATTTCACGCTCCAGCACTAATTCCGACGCGAATTCCGCCGCCATGCCAGCACTAGACCGCCGGCCAAGTTGCAGCCGTGTACTCGCTGACGTGGAAATGGCGGCGCTGGAGGGCAAACTGGCTCTTCTCGAGTCGCAGCGGCAGCTCAGCGCCGTCAAGTGTCGCATCTTCGTCGACAAGATGGAATCAACAATGCAGTGTGCCGAGGAGTCCACTATCGAGAAATACGCAGCGTATACTAAGAAGGACACCGATTTGAGCTTTGAGGTGCCAGCATACGAACCCTATAGTAAGAGGGACAACGGTTTGGCACGGACGCTATCATCATCAGGCGCGAAGCAGCGCGCTTCGTACGAAAGATTGCGCGCACCGACCACGGACGGGAGTGCAGCTCGCAGCAGAAACAGCAGCAGCGGCGGCGGCGGCGGCGGCGGTAGCAGTGGTGACGGGCGGAGGGCGTACGAGCCTTTCGCGCCGCCGAGAGTCGACGGCGCGTATCGCCGGAGGTCCATCGACGTGCCGTCGGTGTCATCAGCATCGGCGCGCTGCGCGTCGTGGCGGGAAGATAAGATCTTCTACACCCCCAGTGCCAGCGGCATCGGCAGCCCTGCGCGCCACCTTTCCCGCCGCCGCAGCGGCTCCTTCCGCGCGCCTGTTGCCCCCCGCGGGACTCCGGACGCCGCCTGCGCCGAGGCGCTGTCCCGCGATGTGTTTCAGTACGATCTGCCTCGTGGCGGCGGCGAGGCTCGGCGCGCAGCAACTGCGGGGCGGCGATCGTTTCACACTACTCGGGAGCAGCGATACGGGCAGGGGGTCGAGGATCGCTGCGCCGCCGCAGAGCGCGCCGAGCTGAGCGGGGCTCATTGGCCTGCCAGTCAACTCAGCCAGCGGAGTCAACTCAGTCATTCGAGTCAACCGAATTTGCGAAGTCAAGCGAGTCTTCGAAGTCGACGGCTGTCGCAGAGAGATCTCGCTTCTGCGTCCAACGAATTCGACTGGCTCGCAGATCCGTCGCTGCCGTCGCGTGCGTCCACCGAACCGCCATCCAACGGCTGCGCTCGCTCCACGTCATCATCGTCGTTCATCGTACCGTCCGTCTTCTCGTCCTCCAACTCTATCGCCTCCACCTCCCCTTTCTGCGACTCATCCTTGGAAACAGGCTCCTCCCGCTCGTCCTCCCCCGCTTCCGCCTCGTCCGCCTCCCCCTCCAGCCCCGAAGCTTCCGCTCGCCTCCGCTCACCCTGGACTAATGCCGCGGGTCCCTTCCACCAACTTGCGCCCGTTTCCGCTGCATCCGCGCCTTGTAAACCTCCGTTTTCCGCTGCTAGCGCGCACACTGTGCCAACCGCCCCGCAGTCCACACGTGAGCCAACCCAAAATGGCCCGAGTGATAAAGAAGAAACCAGCAAGTCGCGGAGAGGCTCCTGGCGCCGGCGCGCGCAGCCGAAAGCGGAGGAGCGCGCGGAGAAAGGAGTCGAGGCGCAGGGCAAGCCCTCCGCGCCCCGCGACAGACGACGAATGAGCCTGGGAGGGTTCGCAAGCAGCCTGTTGGGAGACTTGCGGTACAAGTAATGTTGTAATCGTGCGTTATGTTCCAATAAAACGAAGCATCTTGAAGATGCATCACAAGATCCCCCCCGCACACTACATTGGTTTTCATAACAGCGAGGCCTCCTGCTGGGTAGTCACATCACACTGGTTCACATTGCATAGAGGGTACATACGGTACTACCATGCCTTGAAAATAATACCGTATCTAACACTGCTCCACCAATATCCATTGGAATTAGGAAATGAAGTGGTACAAGAACATACCCCAATGTATGCCACCAATTTGGCAGCTCAGTACGAGACTGAATTGACCACATGCCATAGCTAATAAAATTCCAGATGAACTAAGAAGAACTAGCATTGCTCCACAGCGGACACCAGATTAATTGTAACTAGACATCCTACCACACCACACCATCTAGTTAGGGTTTCTACAACTGGGCATGAAATATGTTGCATTTTACTCAAAGACCAATACACCCAGCAGAGTTAGTACACTTGGGAATAGGCGACTGGAAGCGTTGTCCCCGCTTGCACATATTGCCGACGCCGCTCGCAAACATGAGATTGAAATGGTCGTCTTTTGAAACAGTGTAGGTGTAGCTTCCCGATTTCGATGCTTTCTTGAGAGTCTTAGTGGCCTTGCTGGTCTTGCACTGGGCCCAGTACTTGGGTTGGGTGAATGTTGTTGGATCGGTGTATTGAGTGATAAACTGATGGATATCAGAACGCTGTGTCCATTTAAAAACTGCAACAACGGCAGCGAATCGGGTGGGCATGGGGAGGAGGGGTGAGGGGGAAAGGGGGGAAGGGGAAAGGAGGGGAGGGTGGGGGATAGGGGAACATTTGAGTCAGTTACGATGCCTCCCTCTTCTCAGACACAACTCGTATCAGAGTCGCATGATTCAGTGCGTTTGAGAGCGGTTGAATGCGTTTACATGCGATACAGTGCGGTGCGACACAATCCTGATGAGACGTTGTGCAGAAGGGTGCAGAGGGGGAGGGGCAAGGGTGCAGAGGGGGAGTGGCTAGAAGGGGGGGAGAGTGGGGAGGGAAGCAGGGGGTTGAGGAAGCTCAGCTGATCTAAACAGAGGGCAATCACAGTTTTTTTAAGGTGCCTCAGAAATCGTCTGTAGCCAACCAATGAAGAGGGTAAGAGCAGCGGCACCAGCGTCAGCAGTAGCAGCACCGCAATCAGCCACTCTGCACCGCACTCTGCCACCCCGCACCGCACTCACCCAGCTTGTCGCCCGTTTCAACAGGCGGGCACTCAATCGTCAGCAGGGCCCACAGCGAAAGCCATACCCCTCAGCCTGTTTGCACCGCATTCAGCCTCTCTGCACCGCACTCAGCCTCTCCGCATCGTACTTGACCTCTCTGCACTGCCCTCACCCTCTCCGCACCGCACTCACCCAGCTTGTCGCCCACTTCAATAGGTGGGCACTTCCACTTAATCGTCAGCGGGCCCCACGGCGACAACCTGTAAGGCCCGCCCACTTGAATCGTCTTCGCCTGGCATCGCGCGCATGAATGGAGATACACGGGCAAGAGAAAGAGGTGGGAGATACAACAAGAGACTAACAGATAAATCATATAAGGCCCACCCACTTGAATCGTCTTCGCCTGGCATCGCGCACATGAATGGGGGTGAGAGGAGGAAACACGGGCAAGAGAAAGAGGTGGGAGAAACAACAGAAGACTCGTTAGCGCAACCCTCGTTAGCGGAACTCTCATTAGCGAAGCTTCTCCTTGGCTCGTCCTACGTACGTCTCCCTGTCCCGTACGCTGGTCTTCAATCCGCTAGCCGTGCGTCGTGTGGGACTGTGGCATTGACCGAACGGTCAGGATCACACGGCACGGATCGCACGGCCAGGTTCGCACAAGCGCTCAGACAATCTTGAGTAAAAGGGAGGGGAAAGAAAAGAGACATTGGCGGTCAGGTGGGAAGTGTAGTTGCATTGGCGTTGGAAGTGTAGTTGCTGTTGCCTGACTTGCGCTACGGCGGCTTCTGATGCGCCGTTCAAAATAGACTGCTGCCCAAATTTAAAAATAGAGCTCTCGCTCTGTCCAAGAGTCGAGAGAGCAGCAGCAGCAGCAGTAGCAGACGGGACGGGTTTCAACAGGATTCTTAAAAAGATAAAAGAGAGAGAGAGAAAAAAGGGCGGCATGTGAAAGGTGTGGTTGTTGCTGTCACCTGGACTTGTGCGACGGCTGGCAACGAGAGATAGAGCAGCAGCAGACGAGACGGGAGACGGGAACGCGACGGGCGGCGCGTGTCGGGCGAAGGGCGACGGGCGAAGGGGCAAACGGCGAACGGCGACAACGACGGGCGATTGGAGACAGAGAAAATAGGATGGGGAGAACGAAGTACAGGCAAGGAAGACAAGAAATCAGTAGGGAGCAGATTGTGTGTGATGGAAGAGCCGTGGGGGTTGAGCAATGGCGTCGCTAGCTCTGGCGCCGCTACATAAACATAACGAGACGTGCTAAAACGGGGACGAAAGACGCCGCGAGGAGAATAAAAGGCAGAACATAGCATAAGCAAGAGAGGAGGCAAGGAGAGGCGCGCACTTGAGAGCAGGAGGGCGCAAGCGGTTGCTAGTAAGGCCAGAGAAACGCGGCGCGTGGCCATGGCTGGAGGCGCGCAACCAAGGGGTTTTCAACGCTGATAAATGCTGAGGAGAGAGTGAAGGAGGCACTCAAACGGGATACTGTAAAATGGCGCGAGGCACGAAAACAAAATGGAGGAAGGAATCCAGGAGGTCGAGGCAAAACTGTGTTCCTTGTGCTCTGTAAGTAAAGCTTGTTGAAGCATGAAATTGGGGTGGAGTGGGTTGGTTGTTGGTAGGAGTGGCTATGCTTTTAGCGGGGTTGGTTGATCGGTTGAGTTCGGGATCGCGGAAGAGAGTGATAGGAGCGGAACGGGCAGGGTAGTAAAAATTGTTGGAAAACATACTTAGCCTTTCAATCGTGTTCAAAGTTGATTTTGCTTAGCTAAAACATGGAACATCCGGAGCTGTGTGTCTCGGCGACAAAAGGTGTTCCACGGGCACAGCCAAACCCATTTCAGTCGATGGAGATAAGGCCCTAAAAACCGAATTCTACACCTCGGGATGCCGAGCGGAGCCGACGTGCCACACCGCCACCGAAAACCCACCCAGCAAACCAACAACGTGCGCGCGGCGAGGCGGGCACGCTGCTGCAGTTGGACTGTGGCACAAAAAAGACAACAGCGTCCAGAGTGTCGCGTCGCTATTTCCATCCAGTAAGAAAGCCGACTCCTCCAAACCTGAAGTACAGCCCACATGTCTGGTTCATGCACTGTACACGTGGGCGGAATTTTGCTTAAATGCCTGGCCGCTAGCACGGCACGGCTGGTGCCTTGCTTGCCTCACCTCGAGGTTTGGTTCGGAGAAGCAGTAGGTTGGCTTGCGCACTGAACGAGCTTTAGGACGTGGGCCCAATCGAGTTTGATCGCGACTGATCTGATCGGGTCGGATCTGATCGGGCTGCTTGTGATCGCAGTGCCCGAGCCGTCCGATCAATAGTAAGTTTTTCAGCGCCTGCACAGCAAGCGCGATACACTTACGTTGCAATTTCGTCCCCATACCAGCGAGATTGGCGACCAGATGTCACCTCGCGAATATATTCGTTTTCCTGTAATTGCAACAGTGTAACTGCTCGTGAGCATCGCTGTGGGCCCCGATCACGTGCGATCAACTGATCGCCTGTGATCGAGGAAAATCGACTCTGATCGGGATGAAAATCGGGTCTGATCGAGTTAGAGCGATTGGCTGATTGCCCCCGATTGCCTGAAATTGGCTTCCAGGATTCCTGGAAGTTGTTGGTCATTTCTGATCGAGGCGATCAGACCCGATTGGGCCCACGTCCTTAGAGTGTCTGGGCTGGGTACTGTAAAAATACCCATATGTCTCCCATAACGGGGAGACTGGAGCTAAGCATTTTAAAACGTCCTGTTTTAATAGGGTTATAGACAACCTATGTAAACAAATAGAAATTTCGTGCAAGTCTAAAAAAAAATCTCCTACAAGGTGGGTAGAAAGTAGTTGATGCTGGGTGGTCGGTGACTGGTCGCACCGCATCACGTCTGCGAGAGCTGGTTGGTGGCGGTGTTCGGTTCGGTGGTAGGTTCGGTTCACGGAACTAGTGGTGGTGTGAGTGGGTTCGGCTGATCGCGATTCGCGGTGTAGCAGACTCGGAGGTTTCTGTAATGCACCCCTCTCTCCTTTTGAGGTTTGTTTGTTTCCAACTTTCCACCCCTCCCACCTCACCGAACCAGCGAACCCGAACTGGCCAGCATCAGCTCACCATTTCCACCCACCTTTCATACTCCCGCCATTTGGCTAGACCAATGCACATGGGTATCATCAGGTATACAGAAGCATGAAACTAGAGTGAAAGTGATTTTTTGTTAGTACTCGTTAGCAATCTTGCAACGACCGACGCCCACCTTTTAGCGTTAGGGTTTCCACATTTCTTTCAACCTCTAGTGTTCTGCCTCCCGCTCATTCGCAACGTTGCCGCGACGGCTGTGGCTCGACACCTTACAACAATGTCCACGCGGCTCGTGCTGTTGCTAGCAAGCATAACGCTTCTCGCTCTGCTCTCAAGTGCGTAAGAACAATTGTCAGGCGACACTGGAGAAAATATTTAATATACTCTACTTCCAGTTTCCGCCCCCTGTTATCCCCTGCATTTGCGTTCGCGTTTGCGTCTGCGTCTGCGCTTTGGTATGCGTTTGCGTTTGGTTCTGCGTTTGCGTTTGCGTTTGCGTCTCTGGAAAACGCGGTCGTTTGTGAAACGCGTATTCTATCGTTTCGGTGAGCGAAGAACACGTGATGTGATGAAGATGTCACTCATCATTCGTCGCGACTTTTGAGTGGACTCAAAAGTCACCTCGGTGAGCGAGATGCACGTGATGGGAGCAGCTGCCAATGATCACTCGTCGCCCGCCCTTGTTCTGCTATGTTCGTTATTCCCCCCTTATTCTCTCCCCCACCGACCTCCCCACCCCCACTCCCCCCCGCCCCCCCTTCCCCCCCCCACCGTCCCCCCTTTTCCCCTCCCCCCCCTCCTCTCCGCCCTCCCACCTCGTTCGTCCACCCTTGTTCGTCCCGTTGTGTCCTGCTAAGCCCTCTCTGACTCCACGGTTCTGCTGCTCTTGTCGTGCCCCCCTTGTCCTGTCGCCTCTATTTATCCGCACCTGTTTTTTAGGCGCCTAAAAACAGACTCCGCACCGACATCACTGCTTCCTGCTGACCTTCCACCTTCTCTCTCCCCCGCTCTTCCATTCTCTCCTGTCCACTCCGCACTGCCGCTCCCACTCATAACACCCTCCTCTTCTCCTTCCCCTCTCCCTCGCCCTCCCTCCCATGACCATTCCTGTCCCCATGGCCGCGTCGTCGCTATTGACCGCGCCACGCGCACCTCTCTCTCCCGCACTTCCGCTCCCACTCATGAACAATCTCTCTTCTCCCCCCCCCCCCCCCCCCCCCCTCCCATGACCATTCCGCACCGCCATGGCCGCGGCGTCGTCGCTATCGACCGCGCCACGCGCACCTCTCTCTCCCGCGCTCGCGTTTTTCGGCGCTCCCTCCAACCGATTTGGCGCTGCCTGTGCCTGTTTCGGCGAACCAGGCTTCTCGCTGGCAGAGGTTAGCGCTCTCTTCTGCCCCATTCCCGTCTCCCCCTCGCCTATGGGCCTCCTTTCCGCCTATCCCCTCCCCTATCACCTCGGCCTATCGCCCTCCTTGCCCCCCCCATCCAACCAGGCTTCTCGCTCGCACAGGTTAGCGCTCTCTTCTGCCTCATCCCCTTAAAAAATATAAATCTATATTCCCGGGTAGTGTCCTTGGGTGGCTCTCTCCAGCCCATCTTTATTTGCGCATGAGTTTGAGTTTGCACATTTGAGCCTGCTTCCTAGTTGTTGCTTCCTAGTGTTTGGAAAACTAGGAACCCTAATTTCTCCCTGGTGTTTTGTCGCGTCCTCCCGGGACTGCTTCGGTTATATCAAGGCCTTGTTTTGAGTCGACTCAAAACAGTGTTTGGGAAACTAGGAACCCTAATTTCTCCCTGGTGTTGTCGCGTTTTGGAGACTAGTCCCCGGACTGATTCGGTTATATCAAGGCCTCACGCCCTTAACAACCCCCTCCCCTCCCTCTTTTCCAACCCCCCACCTTCTCCCCCTTATCTCTGCAGTACTAGTGGAAACTCGACAAACACTCACTTTGTTGCGTGCTGCTGCTTTTTTTCTGTTCTTGTTTTCCAATGGGCAGGCGAAAACGATTTATGTTGGCGGTCGCAATGCATGGAACCCGTGGGGCCCGGGAGTGAGGAAATGGAAGGGCCCTAACAAAGTCTTGAAAGGCGACACACTGGGTGAGTCATGCTCTCTCTCCCTCTCCCTCTCCCTCTCCCTCTCCCTCTCATTCTCTCTCCCCCTCTCTCTCTCCCCTCCTCTCTCTCCCCCCCTCTCTCTCTCCCCTTCTCTCTCTCTCTCTCCCCTTCTCTCTCTCTCTCTCTCTCCCCTTCTCTCTCTCTCCCCCTCTCTCTATCTCCCCCCCTCTTGCTCTCCCCCTCCCTCTCTCCCTCACTCATTCACTCACTCTCTCTCTCTCTCTCTCACTCACTCACTCACTCTCTCTCCCTCTCTCTCTCTCTCTCTCTCTCTCTCTCCCTCTCTCTCTCTCTCTCTCTCTCTCTCTCTCTCTCTCTCTCTCTCTCTCAAATGGTCCTTTGTATTAATTCAGCAGGGGGTACAGACATACAGTTTGACTCGTGAATCCCTTAGACCCTCTGACCCATTTACCCATCCCTCTGACCCTCCCCCCCCCTGAGTGACCCTCTACCCCTCCAGCGTGTGGAGGATGTCCCCTAGGTGCAGCGGCCATGGGTCCGCTGCCATCTGGGGGTGCGCCGCCTCGATCCCCGCCCTGGCCTTGGTGTGCAGGGCATTCGCCTATCTTGGTGTGCAGGGCATTCGCCTGGGAGCGCTGGAGGGCCACTGACCAGCGCTGGCTGAAGTGGCAGGCCATCTTCTTGGCGGATTTCGCCAAGGGGTTGGCCCTGAAGCAGTTCTCTCTCTCTCTCTCTCTCACACACTCTCTCTCTCACTAACTCACTCACTCACTCACTTACAAACCTCTGTTCTGTTTCATTCCAACAAAATGCTGCAGTGTTCAGATGGAAGAAAAAATCGAATGTGGTTATGCTGGGCGATGCAACGGACCCTGCGGCGCCTTATTATTACGGCAAGTGTACATACGACACGAACGATGCCACGCTTCACACTGTGATCGCGGAAGCCAAGGCCTCGGGATCTGCCAAATTCACGATTCCCAAGGACGCTCAGGCACTCCATTTTTGGTTCATCAGTACCGTTGGCAAGACATGCAAGAACGGGCAGAAATATGAAACGCCACCTATCATTGCACCGTAGTGATGGTAGGAGCAATTGTGTGCGAATGGCTGGTTGAAGTATCTGCATGCATGTTTAATAAATTACTGGTACTGTAGATAGGTTGCATCTATCCTTTTAGTAGTTTGTAAGTATGAACTGCCTACATTGAGCATCTGACAAGGAAACTGGAAGGCAGTGTAATTGGAGCAGCAGTAATTGCCAGTGCCTCAGATAGGTGGGTATGTTGGTCAGCAGCAGTGTGCTTTGGAGTTTGGTTTTGTCAGTTGTGATTGTAACAGTTTTGTCAGTGCCTACAGTTATGTCTGCTGGTTTGCAGCACCACAACAGGGGAACGCAGCAAATTGTTCTACTGTAAGAACCTCCAGGGTTCTAAGAACGATAAGCAAACTCCATTTCTATTGACAAATGCAGCAGTGTACCAAATGCATAGCACAGTACAGTACAGTCCGTACAGTACAGCATGGGAACACGCCCCCAAAGTGCCTGACACCATCCCCCACAGTTGCTGTGTGAAGGTAGGCCCCACTCCTGCCCCCACTCATGCCCCTTGGTGAGATGGGAACACGCCCCCAAAGTGCCTGAAACGAGCAATTGCGGCAGAGGAAGAGAGAAACGCATTAGGGGAACTCCATCAAAAGAAACATGCACGCACGCACGCACGCACGCACATCCACGAGTTCTTCTGCTCCCAGCAGGGAGTCACACCCTCTCTGCACCACCACCAGTTGCCGCCCACCACTCTTGAGGCACCTCAAACCTCAAATCTGAGAATTGGTTGACCCACTCACTGTGCATTGAGTCTGTCCACGAGCTCTTCTGCTCCCAGCAGGGAGTCACACCCTCTCTCCACCGCCACCACCAGCTGCCGCCCCCCACTCCTCCTCTCCACCACCCACGCGTTCCTCCCCACCTTCGATGCCACCTCCTCACTCTCCTCCTCGCTTTCCTCCTCACCCTCCTCCCCAAGCCACTCCCCCTTTTCCGCTCCTCGCCCTCCTTCCTCTCCTCTCCCCCCCTCTCCCACTCCCGCCTCTCCCACCCTCCCCTCTCCTCCCTCCTCCTCACTCATCCCTTCCCTCTCCCGATCTACTGCCCTGCTCCTAGCAACACTCTCCTCCCCCTCGCCTGCCCCAATTGTTGCTCCCCTTGCATCTTCCTCTCCCCTCCCCTCCTCTCCACCCTTTGAAATATTCGACCCTGCACCCTCCCCATCTCTGCTTGCTGCATGTCGCTCCCTTGACCCTGCAGCAGCAGTAGTCAGAGGGAAGAGCAGGAGGGCAGGCAGAGGGAAGAGCAGGAGGGCAGGCAGAGGGAGCAGCAGCAGTGGTAGCTGCCAATTTGGCAATCACATCTGTGAAAGCCATAGCAGGGAAGAAGCACCAGCAACAGGCACACCAGAAGCATAAAGATCAACACCCGCATTCCCCTCCCTTTACCTGATATTTTCAACTTCCTCTCCTCCTCCCCCCCAAGTAAATCCACCACTTCACTTCCTTCCTCCCTCCCCACCTCGATTTTTTCAGGTGACTAAAAAACGGCCTAAACTTTGAGACAGTTCAAAACCCACCCCCATACTTGTTTCTCCTCTTCCCGCCCTCCCAGTCAGCGCATTTCTTTGCTTCCTTCCTTCTCACTTGAGATAGTTTTTGGAGCGCATCACTTCTTTGAAACTAGTTCTTAGAGGGACATAAGGAATCGACTCATATAGGTGTTCTCAATCTTGAGGCACTTCAAAAAATAACCCATACCTTTCTCTCCTCTTCCTGCCCTCCCTGGGAGCGCATCCCTTCTCTTCCTTCCTCCTCCCTGCATCCTCAGCATTTCCTTCCTCTGCTGCTGCCTGTCCACCTCGTGTCTCATCTGGTTCAGCACTGCGAGGGAGTCCTGGGGGAGGGAAAGGGGTTGTAATTGGTGCATGGGAGGGAGAGGAGGTGCAGTTGGTGCATGGGAGGGAGAGGTGTTGGTTGGGATCGTCAATGCATCACCATTTGCGATGATCAGCAACACACCATCTCCTCTGCTGCTGCTGCCTGTCCGCCTCGTGTCTCATCTGGTTCAGCACTGCCAGGGAGTCCTGAAGGAGGGAGTGTAGGGTGCGGGGAGGGCATGGTTTCAGCGGCGCAAGGAAGGGAGAGGGAGAAAGGGAGGGAGAGAAAGGAAGAGGGAGAACGCAAGAGGGAGAAAGGGAGAGCGAGAGGCGGTGCAAGAATGTGAGAGGTAGCGGTTTGAATCGTCGATGCATCACCTCTTTTGATCCACGAGCACACAGTCGGGGACCAACCTTTGATAGGATGGCAACACACGGGGGTGAGCTTGCAGGGAATGGGCCACTTTTGAGAATTCTCACCGAAACTAGTTTGCCTCGACTTTAATCTCTTAGTGGATTCTTGAGTCGGATTTCTTGAATTTTCTTGTTTAAGCTGGAGATAACAAAAGATCATACTGTCAATCTTTTGCTAAAAGTTTCTGTTAGATGGCTGCTCGCCTAATCAAATGGCTGAAGGATGGCAACACACAGGGGTGAGCTTGCAGGGCGTGTGCCACTTTTGAGAATTCTCACCAGAAAGCGACCCTGGCGAGGGTGGTGACTTTGCAGGGAGGCGAGGTGGAGAAGGGGAGAAGAAGAGGGTCAGTGCAGAGTTAGGGAGAGAGGGGGATGGTATAGCGGAGTGGGGGAGTTTGATGAGGTGACAACCAACCTTGGCGAGGGTGGTGACTTTGCAAGGCGGGGAGGCGGAGAAGGAGCAGAGCAGAGGGTCGGTGCAGAGGTAGCGACAGCCCTGAATGTGGGCTGCTTGCGGGTTGATGTGGTGCCTTTGAAGCAACGCCTCCAGTGCTTCCATCTCCCTCAGGAGCTGTTGAGGGAAAGGGGGAGAAGAAGGGGAAATCTGAGCAACACGCACTGGAGGCAGCGGGTGAGAAGCCGCGGTAGCGGCAGGAAGCTCTGGATGTGGGCACAGGGCTGCTTGGGGGATGATGTGGTGCTGTTGACGCGACGCCTCCAGTTTTGAGTCGTCTCAAAACGATGATGTGGTGCTGTTGACGCGACGCCTCCAGTGCTTCCATCTCTTTCAGTAGCTGATGAGGGACGGGGGGGGAGGCAGTGGCCCATTTGCCCTTAATCTCACCTCACCTCGCAGACAAGGCAACACCTCAACTCACCTCGGGGTGTTGTGTTGGCCCATTTTCCCTTCATCCCTCCTCTGCTGCTGCCGTGATTGCTGGAGTGTTGGTTCTGTAAGAACTGAGCTTGAGCTGATAGACTAGTAATGAGCTCACAGCTCTTTAAGTATATCCGAAATGAGCAAGGTATGGATGGGGAAGAGATCGGGGGTAATCCCAAGGGGATTGGGGAAAACCCCAAGGCAATCTCCAATTGGTGGGTTGGAGATTGCTCAGTGATCACATTTGGGTTTGATTGGGACGTGGGTGTACACCCAACCAACACAAAGTGCAAACTACACTAAGCTAGAACATAAAAGGTACAAGTACAAAAGTTGAGATTGAGGGCTAACACTAACGCCCCCCCATAGATGTCAATCGAACTCAAGGCTGAGAAGGTGGGGCACACAGTCCCATAGCGTCAAGAAGACGATGGTGTGGAACCTTCTCATGGGGCTTGGTGAACAGATCAGCCAAGTTTCAGTCATAAGCAATGTACTGCACCTTCAGCTGATCACGCTGAACAAGGTCGCGAATGAAGAAGTGATGAAGCTCGATGTGCTTGTTGCGAGTGTGAAACACGTGAGTCGGGGAGAGGTGGATGGCACTCTTGTTGTCAGACCAGAGGGTGGGTGTGGACTGAGGGTAGCCAAATTCCTAGAGGAGGAAGGTGAGCCAACGAGCCTTCTGAGCTGCCATAGTCCCAGCGTACAGTTTTGCCTCACAAGATGAGAGGGAGACCATAGAGGACCTGGTGGAGCGCCAACAGACAACTCCACTACCAAGGGTGAAGCAGTAGCCGTGAGAGGAGCGTCAGTCAGTCTGATCATCTGCCCAAGAGGAGTCACTGTAGCCCTCTAGTTGAGGAGGAAAAAGACCACCAAGCGTGAGGACATGAGGTCATTGCAGTGCCGAGGAACAACATGTTGAGACGCACATCAGTAAGAGCACTAGCACTAGTACTAGCCTGAGCGGGTTCCTGTGCCTCGACTTGGTTGGTCTTACGAGGGCGCATCCAGTTCGGTGGCTTCGAGTCGACCCCATTGACGGAATACCATTCGTCGTCTTTCTTCTTGAAGCAAGTAGTGAGGGGGTGGTTAGCGCCACCACACACTTGTCCCTTGTGGTTGGCATACTTGACGCCGTAGGTGGACGGAGAAAAGCGATTGCACTGGAAGGGCGCCGAGGTAACACTTGCTTAGGCCACGGGAGTACGGAGGTCGTTGACCTTGGTTTGAGCTGTGGTGTCTTTATCGGCGGAGAGGAGTGAGGAGCATCTTCCTAGTCACCTCGTATGCTGGTGGAGTGAGTCCTACAAGAAGGGCTGCTGTCGGGGCTTGCTCGGGGAAGACTATGCCGAGTTCCTTAAGTTCGCCATGAATGGTTTGAACCTTGGCGATGTAGTCGGCCATGCCCGGTGAGTCCCCCAGGCGGACCTGAAACATGCTCGGTATAAGGATGGCAACCCCGACTGCCGTTGTGTTCATGAAGTGGTCATGAAGGTGCTTTCATATGGCGTTGGAGGTAGGGTAGTTGTGGTAGGTGTTGACGAGGTCGGGAGGGGTGGTGCCGATGAAGACTCTGATGATAGCCGCATCAACCTTCTCTCACAACAGCGGCACTTATCAACGGCTTCCTCGTACACCCTAGTTGCCTCCACATTGGGATACGACGGCGCCGTGGGGTCTCTTGTCGTAGTTGAGTAACACATCCTTGAGATCCAACCCTTGCACCTCATGGCTCAAGGGGTGCTTGTCAACCCCGTAGCTCCACGTTTTGTAGTTGGAGCTAGTGCCATCGAGTTCAAGGCGAAGCGGGCTGATGGGGTTGGCGATGGTGGAAGAAGCGATCGCCATGATGAAGAAGACCCCCAATGTCTCACGCGAAGCCCCGCCCTTAAGTCACCGATAGAAACAAGAAACTTCAGAGCATCGCGGCACGGCGATTCCGAAATCTGAAGGTCGGGAAGAAAAAAAAATGTCAAGGTTGGCGATTTCAGAATGTCGCGTAGAAGGATTATTCAGGTCGACGAAATTAAGTAAGAACTGCATATTTCGGTAACGAATAATTAATTCTAACCCTACGCTCACACACCCCCCCACACACCGCCCACCCCCCCAACCCTGTCCCGCAGTTCGCGGCTTCACGGCTGCTCAGCTTCACGGCTACATGACTGCTCTGTTTCACGGCTGCACCTATTCAGCCGCACCTGTTCGGCTTCAACCGTTAACGAGAATGGGTGACGACATGGTAGGTTGTCGAGAACGCGGGAATGGTGGGATTCTCACCATGAACGGGAAGAACCACCAATAAATACCATAGCGACGAGTAGCTTTAGCGAAACCCCCAAATCGTCGCAACGTGACGGTGGGAAGAATGGCTCGGGAGAGAATCCGGCCAAGGAAGGTTAGGACGATGACGATCCTTATCGTCGAGCGACTAATGTTGAAAGTGGTTTTGCCGAAGAGTGCGGGGAAAGATTCCGCGAAGGTAGAAGGATCACGATCCGCGTGTGTGGTTGAAGCGCTCTGATACCATGCAAGACCTGAGGTTGAACTCATATACTAGTAATGAGCTCAAAGCGCTTTAGTACATACGAAATGAGCAAGGTATGGAGGGGGAGGGAATCGGGGGTAATCCCAAGGGGTTTGGGGGCAATCCCAGGGCAATCTCTAATTGGTGGGTTAGAGATTGCTTGGTGACTTAGTTGCGGAAGACGCTCGACCTTTCTTGCGTCTAGCGTCTAGACGCAGCGTCTAGACGCTAGACGCAAGACGCACCTTTAGACGCTAGACGCTTGGGCAAAATGTTTTCGGGCAGCCCGAATTTTTTTTTCCGCACGCGCGAAATTGAAATTAGCCATTTCGACGCGAAATTTAATTTCGCGCCATTAGAACCCCTTCCCACCCATTTCGACCATATAAACCAGCCCCCCAAGCAATTTTGAATCCCCCCCAACCAAAATTGAACACAAACCTCACTTCACCGCTTGGTATCTAGAAAACCCAACCTCTATCGCTAACCACCAAAAGGTTGGGGAGCACAAATCCCTCATTTCTTCCAAATCTCTTTCGAAAACCCTTAGGGTTTAGCTAACCATGTCTTCTCGTAGCCATTGGTCATGGTACGGGGAAAAATTGACCCCATTGTGACATACGTGCATGTCCCCCACCCTCCCCATGCCCCATAGATTTTTTTTTGGTCTGCCCACTTTTTTTAGCCTGCCCGGGCTTTCGTCTAATCCTGCGTCTAATCTGACTCATCTAGCGTCTAGCGTCTTAGACACTGCGTCTAGACGGACGCGTCTAAGACGCTAGACGTGTCTTCCGCAACTAAGCTTGGTGATCACATTTGGGTTTGGTTGGAATGTGGGTGTTCACCCAACCCCAACCAACACAAAGTGCAAACTACATCAAGCTAGAATATAAAACGTACAATTACAAAGTTGAGACTGAGGGCTAACACTAACAAGTTCCACCACCAGGGCTGTCAGTCCTCACCTCCGGTGCAGATTCGTTTGACCAGCTTCTTCATTCCTCCTCTGCCCCTCTCTTATTGTTGCTGCTGCTGCTGCTCATATTCTACCGCTGTTTCTGCTGCTGGTAGTGGTTTCACCACCAGGGCTGTCAGGTCAATGACGAAAAGCACTCGCAGCACTCGCCGAGTCGCAGACAAGGCAATCAACTCACCTCAGGGTGCAGGTTGGTTTGTCCATCATCATTCCTCTTCTGTCCCTCCCTTACTCCTGCTGCTGCTGTTGGGAGTAGTGGTTCCACCACCAGGGCTGTCAGGTCTTTGACAAAAAACACTCGCAGCACTCCCACCACTCCAGCTCCTTCTCCCCCTCCCCCTCCCCCTCCGCCTTCCCTTCCACCCTTTTCCTTCGCCACTTTCTCTCCCCGTTCCCCTCCCCCAGCAGCACCTCCTCCCCCCACCCCTCCTCCTGCTCCTCCTCCTCCCACCTCTACCCCCAAAGACCGTAAGTGGACTAGAGGGGGGAGAGGGGTGTTGGTTTGGGGATCTAATCCCCATGCTGACGTTGAAAGGGATTGGCCTGACGTGGATTTGGCCCAGGATGATGGGCGAAGGGGGAGGGGAGGGGAGGAGTAGGGGAGGGGGAAAGGGGAGGAGTGGGTGGGGGGGTTGGAGGCGGAGGGGGAAGGGGGGAATGGCTGGTTGGGGTTGGGGCAAGCAGAGGGGGAGAGAGGGGGAGTGTGGGCGAAAGGGGAGAGATGGACGATTGAGGGGGTGGAGGAGGAGCGAGGGAGGGTGGGAGTGAGTGAGGGAGTGAGAGAGGGAGTGAGTGAGGGGCTGAGGAAGGAGGAGGTGCGACGGGGGGAGGGGGAGGAGGGGCGGTGAGAGGAGGGGGAGGAGGAGGCGGAGGAGGAGGAGGTGAAGGGGGAGCGAAAGGGGGAGAGGGAGCGAAGGATGGAAGAGGAGGAGGAGGGAGGGGAGAGGGAGGAGGGGAGAAGGCGGAGACAAGCGTATGAGTGTAGTGCTGCAGTGTCAGTCTGGTGGAAGGCGGGAGGGGATGGAGGAAAGGGGGAGAGGGAGAGGGATGGGGGGGGGGGAAGAGGGAAAGGGGGACGGGGGGAGAGGGAAAAGGGGGAGAGGCTACTTCTGAGTCGACACAAAATGCGCAGGCATGCATAGGAGTGAAGTGCTGCAGGCATGCATAGGAGTGAAGTGCTGCAGGCATGCATAGGAGTGAAATGCTGCAGGCAGTGTCAGCCTGAGGGAGGCAGCGAGGTGGGAGCGGTGGGAGAGAGGTTAGAGGTGTGAGAGTAGTGAGAGGGAGGAGGGGAGAAGGTGGGAAGAGGTGAGAAGGTGGGAGGAGGAGCGAGGGGATGGAGAGTGGTTAGAGGGGGAGCGGTGAGAGGAAGGGGAAAGATCAAAGCAATAAAAGAACAGGGGTGATTTTTGAGATGTACGTGAAAAAGAACAGGGGTGATTTTATAGATTTACGTGAGAAAGAACAGGGGTGATTTTTTAGATTTACGTGAGAAAGAACAGGGGTCATTTTATAGATTTACGTGAGAAAGAACAGGGGTGATTTTTTAGATATACGTGAAAGAACAGGGGTGATTTTTTAGATTTACGTGAGAAAGAACGGGGGTGATTTTTTAGATCTACGTGAGAAAGAACAGGGGTGATTTTTTAGATTTACGTGAGAAAGAACAGGGGTGATTTTTTAGACTAACGTGAGAAAGAACAGGGGTGATTTTTTAGATTTACGTGAGAAAGAACAGGGGTGATTTTTTAGATTTACGTGAGAAAGAACAGGGGTGATTTTTTAGATTTACGTGAGAAAGAACAGGGGTGATTTTTTAGATCAATGTGAGAAAGAACAGGGGTAATTTTTGAGATCTACGTGAGAAAGAACAGGGGTGATTTTTGAGATCTACGTGAGAAAGAATAGGGAAAGCAAAAGGAGAAGCAGCCGAAGACTGTGCAAGCTAAGGAAGGGCAGCAGGGGCATGAGTGGTTGCTACCGGGGAGAGGGTGGAGGCGAGCAGCAGGTTGTGGCAGAGCGGCAGAACAAGGCTCTGGGTTTGACTCAGATAATTACCAAGGAGAGGGCATGAGTGAGCGAGTGGTTACCGGGGAGAGGGTGGAGGCGAGCAGCAGGTTGTGGCAGAGCGGCAGAACAAGGCTCTGGGTTTGACTCAGATAATTACCAAGGAGAGGGCATGAGTGAGCGAGTGGTTACCGGGGAGAGGGTGGAGGCGAGCAGCAGGTTGTGGCAGAGCGGCAGAACAAGGCTCTGGGTTTGACTCAGATAATTACCAAGGAGAGGGCATGAGTGAGCGAGTGGTTACCGGGGAGAGGGTGGAGGCGAGCAGCAGGTTGTGGCAGAGCAGCAGCGCCCCGCCTTGAAAGGCGTCTGTGAGGCGATGGGCGAGCAGCAGAGCAACGCTTGGGGCTTGGGGTTCGGGGTTCTGGGTTTGGGGTTCTGGGTTTGGGGTTTGGGGTTCGGGGTTCTGGGTTTGGGGTTTGGGGTTTGGGGTTCGGGGTTCTGGGTTTGGGGTTTGGGGTTTGGGGTTCGGGGTTCTGGGTTTGGGGTTTGGGGTTTGGGGTTCGGGGTTCTGGGTTTGGGGTTTGGGGTTCGGGGTTCTGGGTTTGGGGTTTGGCTGGGGTTACCGGGGAGAGGGTGGAGGCGAGCAGCAGGTTGTGGCAGAGCAGCAGCGCTGCTCCTTGAAAGGCGTCCGCCAAGCGATGGGCGAGAGACTGGTGGGAGGGGAGCGGGATAGAGGAGAGAGGGAAGGAAGGGAGAAGCAGAGCAGGAGCAGGGAGGGAGGGGTGTAAGAGAGAGGACAAGACAAAGACGCTGCAGTGCCCCCCCTGAGAGGCATCTGCCAGGGGATGGGCGAGTGACTGGTGGGAGGGGGAGAGACGGGAGAAAAGGGGAGAGATGATTGAGTTCTGGAAAGGGGGGAGCGGGGTAAATGACAGGAAAGACGGAGGGGTAGCAGCCCCCCGCCTTGAAAGGCATCTGGCAGGGGATGGGCGAGTGACTGATGAGAGGGGGAGGAGAGCAGGGGGGAAAGGTGGGAGGGAAACGGGAGTAGTAGAGCAGGAGAGGCAGCTGGAGAGGGAGTCGAGGGGAGAAGGCAGGCGGACTCAAGAAAGGGCGGTGTGAGGAGCGGTTGGAAGAGGTGGGAAGGGGTTGAGGGAACAAGGGCGAAGTTGAATTGGAGACAGGAGAGGTGGTTGGAGAGAGAGTCGAGAAGAGCAGGCAGGCGGACTCGAGGGGTGAGGGGTGAGGGGCGGTTGGAAGAGGTGGGGTTGGTGGGGGGCATTCAGGGACTGGGGAGCAGGAAGAGTGAGGGAGCGGGGAAGAGTGAGGGAGCGGGGAAGAGTGAGGGAGCGGGGAAGATTCAATTGACGACAGGAGAGGGAGTGGAGGAGAGAAGGCAGGCGCAGTCGAGGAGGTGTGGGGCATGCATGTGCATGTGCATGTGCATGCCACAGCGAGTCACCAAAGCGGGGAGAGAGTGGCTCACCAGGGCAGGGAGAGTGAGGGAGCGTGGAAGATTCAGTTGGCGGCAGGAGAGGCGGCTGGATAGGGCGTCGAGGAGAACAGGCAGGCGCACTCGAGGAGGTGTGGGGCGGTTGGAAGTGGTGAGAGGGGGTGGTTCGTGGAACAAGGGAGAAGCAGGCTCACCAGAGCAGGAAGAGTGAGGGAACGTGGAAGATTCAGTTGACGGCAGAAGAGACGGCTGGAGAGGGAGTCGAGGAGAGCAGGCAAGCGGACCCGAGGAGGTGTGGGACGGTTGGAAGTGGTGAGAGGGGGTGGTTCGGGGAACAAGGGAGAAGCAGGCTCACCAGGGCAGGAAGAGTGAGGGAACGTGGCAGATTCAGTTGGCGGCAGGAGAGACGGCTGGAGAGGGAGTCGAGGAGAGCAGGCAAGCGGACCCGAGGAGGTGTGGGGCGGTTGGAAGTGGTGAGAGGGGGTGGTTCGGGGAACAAGGGAGAAGCAGGCTCACCAGGGCAGGAAGAGTGAGGGAACGTGGCAGATTCAGTTGGCGGCAGGAGAGGCGGCTGGAGAGGGCGTCGAGGAGAGCAGGCAGGCGCACTCGAGGAGGCATTGGAGCAGAGAGGGCGAAAGGGAATGTGAGGGCGGAGGGCTCTGGGGACCCGCCTGGGAGGGATGAGGAGGGGAGGGGAGGTGCAGTCAGGGGGAAAGAGGCAGGAGCCTTGAAAAGTGAGGGGTGGTTGGAAAGGGGGTGCTCTGGGGACCCACCTGGAGGGATGAGGAGGAAGTGCAGTGGGAGGAGTGAGGGCAGGAATCACTGGTCGAGTTGACTCGAAAATGAACTCGAGGAGGTGTGGGGGTTGAAAGGGCGAAGGGGAATGTGAGAACAGAGGGTTCTGGGGACCCGCTTGGAGGGATGGGGGGGAAGTGCAGTGGGGAAGGTGGGGAAGGGGGGAGCGCAATGAAGAGGAAACGGGGAATCACTGAGTTTTTATTCGACTAAAAAATGGACCCGTGGAGGTGTGGCGGAAGAGAGGGCGAAGGGGAATGTGAGGGCGGAGGGTTCTAGGGACCCGCCTGGAGGGACATGGGGGGGGAAAAGGGGAAGCACTACGTTTTGAGTCAACTGAAAAAAAGACTTGAGGAGGTGTGGACTGGTCAAAAGGAACGGACTAATCGGAACAGCGGGGGCGGAACGACGTGCACGATCCACACACGACCGAAGAGACACAGAACTGTGAGGAAGGCTGGGAGGAAGGCTCACAGGCAGTTACATGCCAAGTCAGAATACAGAAGAGAAGTGCGAGGGGGAGAGGGAGACAAGCACCTGTGAGAAAGTCAGGGAGGAACGCTTGCAGGCAGGCACGGGCTAAGTCTGCTGAAGGGGGAACGGCAGATGGGGAATCATGTGAAGTTGTGCTGGACTCAAGATTGGATGAAGGATTTGAAGAGGGCCCAGTTGTTGCTTCTGAGGGGAGAGGAGGAGGAGGAGGGGGTTGGGGTTGTTGCTGCAACATGCGGTCGATGCTGCCGAAGAAGAGACAAAAGAGCGCATGCGCCTCCACCAGATACTGCCGAAGAGCCTCGTCGCGCACTGTAGCGTCGGGCGGCATGACGCCGTTGACCCCCCGACACTCCACCACCTGAGATTCAATTAGGGCATATCGTGTTGGGAAGGGGAGGGGGGGGGGGGGGGAGCGGGCTGGGGGGAATGTGCGAGAGGAACAACGCCGTTCACCCCCCGACACTCCACTACCCGAGGGCATGGACGGAGGGCGGGTGGGAAGGCATGGGAAATCGAGTCAATGGTGGGTGGGGGAAGGGAAGGGCAGAAAGCATGGAGAAAATGGAGGAAAATGGAGGAAAATGGAGGAAAAAGGGGGAGTGGGGGATAAAAATATGAGAGCATGGAACCACATGTCTCCTGTGAGCGATTTTTGAAAATTCTCCAAAACCACACGGTTCCATCACCCTAATTTCGCAGTTTTGAGTCGACTAAAAAAAAACTCCAAAACCACACGGCTCCATCACCCTAAAGGGCACTAATGACCGTGACTATGAGCGAGCCCCGTTCCCTCACCAGCACCATGAATATGCCTGGTTCACACTCCAGCAGCACGTGCCGGTGGAAATGCGCTCGCATCACTTCACAGGGACGATTGGGGGAGAATATTCTGCAAGGGCCGGGGAGGGGATGGGGGCGGTGGAGGCGGGGGGTGAAACGGAGAGAGGAGGTGGGTTGGCGGCACCAGGCAATGGGGGGCGGTGGAAATGCGCTCGCATCACCTCACAGGGACGATTGGGGGAGAAGATTCTGAAAGGGCCAGGGAGGGGATGGGGGGGGTGAAGAAGGAGAGAGGGAGTGGGTTCAGGCAAGGAGAGGAGTGTGGGGGTGGGAAATAGGAGGTCGGGGACAGGGGGTGGAGACAGCAGCAGGTTCACACTCCAGCAGCAGCAGCACTCCAGCCAAGGAGAGGAGTGTGGCGGTTGAAATGCGCTCGCATCACCTCACACGGGCGGTGGGGGGAGAAGATTCTGGAGGAGGGAAAAAAGGTGGGTAAGGGTAGAGGAGAAAATACAAGGAAAATGCAAGAAGAGTGGAGGAGTTGGGTGGGGGAAGGGGAGTGGGGGAGAAGGGGGGGGGGGGAGGGGGGGGTGTTGCCTGCCGGGAAGGTTGGATGAGCGGAAAGAAGGGAGACAGGCAGGGAGGTACGGATTCTTTTCTCACAGCAAGGAGGGGCGGGGGAGAAGAGAGGGAGGGATCTTAGGCGAGGGGGGGTTGGGGGAAGGGTGGCGGGAGTGAAGGCACACGGGGCGGAAAGATGAGGGGAAAAGGCGGAATGGGGGGGATTGGGAATGGAGCAGGGATTGGAAGTGCAAAGGGAGGGAAGGAGGAGGAGAAGAACGAAGAATCGCAGTAGGACGGCGGAGTGACCACTCCTGAATGAAGCTGAATTCGTGGAAAAAAACTCCTAGCGCGAGTGCAATTACAGAAAGTGTGACTGTATCAAATGACCTGGTGAATGCGAGGAGGCCCTCACAGAGGCCCAGCAGCGCCACTTGCTCCGACGGCGGAGTGGCGGGCGGAAAGAATATGCCTAAACGAGTATGACTATATCGAGTATGACTATAGCGAGTGACTTGGTGAAAGCGAGGAGCCCCTCCCAGAGGCCAAGTAAAGCGACTTGCTCCGACGGCGGAGAATATGACTACTGGTGTGACTGTAACGTATGTAACTCTGGCGAGTGTGACTATAGCGAGTCACATTCTATAGAGTCACCTGATGAATGCGAGGAGGCCCTCCCAGAACCCCAGCAGCGCCACTTGCTCCGACGGCGGAGTGGCGGGCGGAAAGAATATGCCTAACGAGTGTGATTATGCGAGTGTGACGATACCTGGTGAAGGCGAGGAGGCCTTCCCAGAGCCCCAGCAGCGCCACTTGCTCCGACGGCGGAGTGGCAGGCGGAAAGAAGAACAGAAGCTTCTCCGCCTCTTCCCCCTCCCGCTTCCCCCGCCGCGAGTCGAACACGCACACGCGCACCGCGCTTCCCGCCGCGCCGCCTCCTCCGCTGCCGCCCATCCCGGCTCCCCCCGCGCCCGCTCCGCCTTTTCCAATGCCGTGGGGGACACGTGGAGGGGCAGGAGTGGGGAGAAGTATCGATCCTACGGCGATTTCTGCGCCGACCCAACAGACATGCGCGGAAGGGCTGGTGAAGTGCGGAGACGCGAAGTTGCGGAAACGCGGAGATGCGGAATGAGAGGTGGCAGGTGATGGCTCAAGAGTCTACGCGGTATTTTCAGAAATTATTAAAGCGCGTCGCAGGCCCAGAGGGATGAGAAAATAGTAGGCTGCTTCCAACTGGGAAACATCGCGCGATTAGGAAATGGCTAAGGTCGATTTTTGCCTTGTCACGAAAGCGGTTCGGATTCTCCGAGAGAATATCTGGGCGAAATTGCGCTCATCGACCGCGCCTGCTGGTCGAATTCGATCGACCACTAATACCGTGCTTTCTTGGCGCCGGTCGAGTTAGATCAAATTCTTTTCAAGATCACGTTGATATATGTGAGCTTCGCACTATTATAAATTTGATTATCACAAATATGCCGGCGGGGCTGCTTATCGAGAGCGCCTATATGATGAGTATTTCGACATCCAGTGCATACCTAGCCCATGTGTCCTGGACCGAACCTGCAGTCACCACACCGGAATTGTCAACGGTACGCAAAGCAACAAAACACTTGGAGCTCGGTTTCTGATTGGCAAGTCGATTTTCTAGTCCACCGAACCGAAGCACTGTACAGTAGACGTAAAACGTTCTGACTTCGTTTGGACGGACTTGGTTGGACAGATTCGGGACTGTGGCTGTGGTCCGTACGGTCAAGTTCTCCACCGAGCCTAACCACACCGAAACGCTCTTGTCGCTTGAGTCCTGAGCCCGAAACGTTGGAGCCGATCGACGAGAAAAAACAGTACGGCGAAAAAGGCTACAGAGCGTTTAGATGTGGTTAAGTGCAGTTAGGGCTCGTACCTGAACGAAAACAGCACTCCTAACTTCACCCACCATAACTGGTCGCCTAACTTACTGAGCATCCTAGTCTACGTATCGCGTCAGAACAGACGGACCGTCGGGCGGACGGCAGGTATATAGTACATCGCCAGTAGGGAAACTTTGCATCGGTGTGTCACATGGAGATAGACGGACCGTCAGGATGGCGGTCAGAACAGGATGGATTCGTTGTCGCTTCTTTCTGTAACATCTCGATCCACTCACCTGGTCTCGATACGTCGAACCAGCTGTGAGGAGGAAATGTGAGGAAACATGATTGGTTGAAATTTGAATGGAAGCGAGACTTGGGTTGGAATTGACTTGATTGGAAAACTAGCAAATCAGAACTCTGCTATACAATTGTGACAGAACTTACGCGATAGGTTTGAAAACAACCCATGTAAGTTCAAACGTCACCCTTGTCCAACCAATCAGAACATACTCACACAAAGTGAGTGGACGGAACTTCCGCCGCTGGTTGGAAATAGAACCAATCAGAAACAACCAACTTAAATCCAACTCGACTCTCCCTTGAAATTGCAACCAATGCAACAACTCAGGTTTGTGATAAGTGTGCATTTTTATCCTTGCTGTCTATGATCTAATTGGTTGGAAATCCCAACCATTGCCACATGGGCAAGGCCCATGGTGGTGCACCCTTCCTTGCCATGGGGAAGGTGGCTGCACCCCAAAGGGGTCTAGGGAGGGGTCTGAGCCTTTGGAGGTTCATTCTTCATTCCTATGCCCAACTAATCAATTGGGAAATAGGATTGCTCTCTCTCTCTCTCTCTCTCACAAATTACCTTCCAGAGTTTGTTACTGCATTTTCCAGCACTTTCTAGACTTAGTAGATTTCAGGAGCTACTATTCTCTGTTTTGTACTAGAACCTATCTATATATGGGTAAATGCCCTTTTATTTAGCAGATCCGTTACACTTTCTGTTTTCTCTCAGCGTTTAGAATCATTGCTCGTCCATTACAAAGTTGTATCTCGCCTGAGTCTATTATTAGTAGTAAACATCTAAGAGTACAGGCGGAAGCCGCATCACAGCGTCAAATCAAGAACAAGATCCTGCTCTTCTTTTCTAGGTGAAGCTAGTTTCGTGAAACACGACATTTCGCCATGGCGGATGCTGAATCCACTCCTAGCGTCCAGACTGGAACGGTGAGAATTCTTTCAGTTCACAACTTTCAATGGGTTTAACTGTTAGGCCGACGCCATGATATTGCGAGGTTCTACGCTGAAACGGTGAATCACAGCGGTGGAATCGTAACATGATGCATTAACATAATGATGGTGTTTCATCCATGTAGCCTTTTCTTCGAGTGATTTTTAGTACAATTTTTGCCGCGACCCACATCCGTTTCCTAGTAAAGAGTAGCCGCTGCTCTCTACTTGAGGTGTGCTTTCGTTTGTTACTCGGTTTTTCTTGAGCGAATGCTTCTTATTTTTTTAATATAAATCTGGCTCGCTATGCCTAGCTATCAGACACAGGATCGGTTCTTCCGAACCTGAACCGAGCCTGAACCTTCACATAACCCCCTCACATGAAGTGGTTCAACAGTAGCCTTTCTGTTATTAACCTTTTCAGCGCGACCCCACCCCTTTTCACGCATAACAACTGCGGCGAGGAGCTCTATGTGCACCAGACGAGCATCACGAGGGCTGCCGAGCCTATATCCAAACCTGATCCGAGCCTGACCCCCACTTCCTGAACCTGACCCCGCAGGTGACGTTGTACAACTCGAGCAAGGGCTTCGGGTTCATCGCGCCCAATAACGACGTGCACCATACAGACATCAAGAGCGGGGGTCTCCGCGTCCTAGAGGAGGGCCAGGTCGTTGAGTTCACCATCTAGACCTCTTCTGACGGCCGCACCACGACAAAAAATGTTGCTGTGAAGCCCTGGGGGGGTGAATGAGGATGCTGGGGTGGTGGGTGTTATGGTGGAAGGGGGGCTGTTATGGTGGTGGCCAGTTTCCAACCCAGAAGGTAGCACAAAAGGTGTAATATCAGGCTCTTGTCTAGTGGGGTTTACGGTTTCAGGTTTTATTAAGGTCGTTACCTGTTTACAAACATGCAAACAGCAAGATGAACATACAAGCCTATGCTAGGCTCCCTCCAGGGGAGCACGTGAAACACGTCATCCTCCCGCCACTGGGGCGGAGGTGCACGGGGGGCGCATATCCGGCTGGCATGTGAAGTGGCGTGGATTGCTAGGGAGGTCGATAGGAATCGTTGACTAGCCACGTGGTTTGAGTTTCGGATGGATTGCCGGGGAGGTCGATAGGAATCGTTGACTAGCCACGTGGCTTTGAGTTTCGGATGGATTGCCGGGCAGTTGGGTTCTGGAAAATGAAAGAAGCGGTGTGCGACTGCCAGGTTGACCCTGCGGGTAGCTCGGAGGCGTTTGTTCTTCGAGCCCTTGGAAGCCCTCCAGATCAGAATCTTGAAGGCAAGTAGGAACAAGTTGAGAACGGTATGGAGGGATTCGTAGGTTTTGAAGGGGGTTTGTCTGTATCTGTGACTGCAGCGCGAGTTCCAGATAACTTTTGCTACCGTACCAACCAGCAGGCTCCACGGGGCCACTTGACCGGCTGTTGACTGCAGTGGAAACAGAGTCAACTGCGGGGATGTAGAAATTCCTAAGTGAGCACGCGCGGACCGTTGGAGAGCTTCAGTGATTGGCTTCGGCACACCGCATTCGAAGAACACATGAGGAAGCGATTCAAGAACTCCTTGATTACAGCCCGAGCAGATGCCCTTATCTGCCGAGAAGGTGAAACGCGATCCTGATGGTAGTCCGCGAGAGTATAATCGGTAGAGTACGTCACGCTGGGAAGAAGGTTGTTCCAAAAGGAACGCGTGTGTGTAGTCCGGAACCAGGAAAGGTCCTGGCGCTGGGAGGATGTTACCATCTTTGAGCATGTGGAAGCGGCTGTTGCTCGTATGTCATATCCCGAATCGTTGATAGGGCTGGGGCACCGTCTTTCAAAATCTCGAAGTGTGTTGCCAGCCCTGCACCAGAGCAGAAGGTGCCTCCGAGCCATCTATCTGAGACGTGGACCGCGACGGTCTCTGAGATTGATAGCCGACGTCTTGACACTGCTTCCTTCGAGATTCTGCAGATATGATCCACATCGTATGTGTTAGCGAAAAAGGAGTTATAAGGAAGGAGTTGATCCACTTCGAAAGTGACACGGGGAGGAGCTTGCATGTCGACGGCGAGTAAGACCCAGTCACCGATGTCCAGTGGTACTAAGCTGTGCGATGTAGCCAACGCGGCCCACCAATTCGATGGCATGGCATGATAAATCTCATGGATAATCCGCCGGCTGCATGGGTACTCCTGTGGGGGTTATTTCTGCATGATTTCGGCGTCCGTTAGGCGTCGAGCTCCAGACTCGTCTTGTCGCACGATGTGTCCAACACGAACTTCTTCTGTTAGCAAGAACAGCTCGTCTTTAATGCGTCCAAATGGCCGACCGCCAGGCTTGGTGACAAAGCGGTTGAACGGGACTGGTTCTGCCAGAATACACCAAAATTCAGGTCTGGGGGGGAGAATGGAGAGGTGAAGTGCCATGATGCTATGCAGTTCTTCACGTAGCCGTCCTGGTACAATGTCGGGAAGGAAGGGCAGGAAATCTTCATGGAGGAGAAATGCATGGAGACCAAAAGGGATGGGAGTGCAGATGCGAGCGACTGCGGCTTCTGGTAGCGGGGAGAATCTCCGAAATGCTCGTTGAGCGTTAAGCGCGAGGATCTGTGTCGAAGGCTTAATAGCTCTACTTTGTTGTAGACCGTGTTATTCGTAAGAAGACGGGTAGTGCGTCCCTGTGGGCAGTATTTGGAAGACGAGAGGAAATTACCCGCGACTGCATTTAGTGCCTGTAAGGTGGGTGAGGGGGGGGGGTTGAAATCGGCTGGGGAATGTGAGCACCGAGTTGAGGTAGGTGCTATTAAGCCTGTTACGGCACGAGGAGGTGGCGTGGAGGTTGGCAAGGAAGTTAGCAGAGCCTTTTATTTTTTTAATCGCATGCTCCCAAGTGAGGTCGGAACGGCCAGACGACCCCACGAAGATTCCCAGAACCCGTTCGAAGTCATCCTGATTGCGGATTGGGATGGAACCTGCGTGGGAAATGTTTATAGGGTTGAAGTTAAACGGGATTAGTGAGCACTTTGCCCAGTTTAGATTTTCTCCTGATACTGCCGCGAAGGAGAGAAGAACGCGCGAAGCCGTTTGGAGTTCCTCGTTAGAGTTAAGGAATATGGTTACATCGTCGGCATAGCATGGCATTAGGCGCTGCTGTGTGGGAGAGATGGGGAAGCCAGGGAGGAAACACGAGGAGTATCGGTGGAATATTTCGATACCACAGAGGAAGAGAAGGGGGGCCAGGGGGCATCCCTGCCGTACACCTGAGCGGACCTCTATGGGGGGACCACAGAGATTATTGACAGAGATGCGAGTAGAGGTACCTAAGTGCATTAGTTTGACCCAATGAATCAAGGACGGAGGGAGACCCAGAACTACTAGGCAAGAGAACAGGAACTCACGGTTGACAAGATCGTACGCTTTCCTTATATCAACCATTAATGCCAGCAGGGGAAGCTCCTGCGCGGTGGCCCAGTCGAAAATATCCAGTGTATCGTTGAGCGTATCTCCAATCTTCCTGGATTTAATGAATGCCGCTTGGGAGTGGTGTATGAGAGAGGGAAGTAGAGGTTGGAGGCGATTTGCCAAGCAAATGGCTAGGACTTTGTAGTCCGAATTCATGAGTGTGATCGGTCTTAGATTGTCAGGCAGAGAAGAGTCCCTTTTCTTGGGAATGAGGACCGTACGACCTTGGAGCATTGATGGGGGGGGTTCTGACTGGGTGGAGAGGAACAGTGCATGGAGGGCAGGGGCGAAGTTAGCTCGAAAGTTCCGGAAGAGTTCTCCTGGAAGTCCATCAGGGCCGGGAGTTTCCCCTCGCGGTAGCTTACCTACGGCCCGCGCGACTTCTTCCAAGGAGAAGGGACGGGACAGCCTATCCCAGGAGGTGG